TGAACTCACAACTCTTTTGGCCCTGTCACTGGATCTAACTCACGCCTTTATCCACTGTGCCATGTGTCCTGAAGAAGGCCGGAGCGTACACCAGTCAAAACGTTGTGGTAAATATGACAACAAAGATGAGGACAATAGTCCGACTGAGGTAAATAATGTAAATAATACCTCATCTCAGAAATATAGACAAATACTGAAAAGCCGAAACGTTGTAATAAATATGGCAACAAAGATGAGGACAATAGTCCGAATAATGTAAATAGCGTACATAATACATCATCTCAGAAATATAGACAGATACTGAAAGGCCGAAACGTTGTGATAAATATGGCGTCAAAGATGAGGACAATAGCCCGAATAATGTAAATAGTGTATATATTGCCTCATCTCAGAAATATAGACAGATACTGAAAGGCCGAAACGTTGTAATAAATATGGCGACAAAGATGAGGACAATAGTCCGAATAATGTAAATAGTGTATACATTGCCTCATCTCAGAAATATAGACAGATACTGAAAGGCCGAAACGTTGTAATAAATATGGCGTCAAAGATGAGGACAAAAGTCCGAATAATGTAAATAGTGTATATATTGCCTCATCTCAGAAATATAGACAGATACTGAAAGGCCGAAACGTTGTAATAAATATGGCAAAAAAGATGACCACAATAGTCCGAATAATGTAAATAGTGTACATAATACCTCATCTCAGAAATATAGACAGATACTGAAAGGCCGAAACGTTGTAATAAATATGGCAAAAAAGATGACCACAATAGTCCGAATAATGTAAATAGTGTACATAATACCTCATCTCAGAAATATAGACAGATACTGAAAGGCCGAAACGTTGTGATAAATATGGCGTCAAAGATGAGGAAAATAGTCCGAATAATGTAAATAGTGTATATATTGCCTCATCTCAGAAATATAGACAGATACTGAAAGGCCGTAACATTGTAATAAATATGGCAACGAAGATGAGGACAATAGTCCGAATAATGTAAATAGCGTACATAATACGTCATCTCAGAAATATAGACAGATACTGAAAGGCCGAAACGTTGTGATAAATATGGCGTCAAAGATGAGGACAATAGCCCGAATAATGTAAATAGTGTATATATTGCCTCATCTCAGAAATATAGACAGATACTGAAAGGCCGAAACGTTGTAATAAATATGCCTACAAAGATGAGAATAGTCCGAATAATGTAAATAGTATGCATAATACGTCATCTCAGAAATATAGACACATACTGAAAGGCCGAAACGTTGTAATAAATATGGCAACAAAGATGAGAATAGACCGAATAATGTAAATAGTGTACATAATACCTCATCTCAGAAATATAGACAGATACTGAAAGGCCGAAACGTTGTGATAAATATGGCGTCAAAGATGTGGACAATAGTCCGAATAATGTAAATAGTATATATATTGCCTCATCTCAGAAATATAGACAGATACTGAAAGGCCGAAACGTTGTAATAAATATGGCAACAAAGCTAAGGACAATAGTCCGAATAATGTAAATAGTGTATATATTGCCTCATCTCAGAAATATAGACAGATACTGAAAAAGGCGAAACGTTGTAATAAATATGGCGTCAAAGATGAGGACAATAGTCTGAATAATGTAAATAGTGTACATAATACCTCATCGCAGAAATATAGACAGATACTGAAAGGCCGAAACGTTGTGATAAATATGGCAACAAAGATAAGGACAATAGTCCGAATAATGTAAATAGTATATATATTGCCTCATCTCAGAAATATAGACAGATACTGAAGGGCCGAAACGTTGTAATAAATATGGCAACAAAGATTAGGACAATAGTCCGAATAATGTAAATAGTGTACATAATACCTCATCTCAGAAATATAGACAGATACTGAAAGGCCGAAACGTTGTGATAAATATGGCGTCAAAGATGAGGACAATAGTCCGAATAATGTAAATAGTGTATATATTGCCTCAACTCAGAAATATAGTCAGATACTGAAAGGCCGAAACGTTGTAATAAATATGGCAACAAAGCTAAGGACAATAGTCCGAATAATGTAAATAGTGTACATAATACCTCATCTCAGAAATATAGACAGATACTGAAAGGCCGAAATGTTGTAAAAAATATGGCAATAAAGATGAGGCCAATAGACCGAATAATGTAAATAGTGTACATAATACATCATCTCAGAAATATAGACAGATACTGAAAGGCCGAAACGTTGTGATAAATATGGCAACAAAGATGAGGACAATAGTCCGAATGATGTAAATAGTGTATATATTGCCTCATCTCAGAAATATAGACAGATACCGAAAAGCCGAAACGTTGTAATAAATATTGCGTCAAAGATGAGGACAATAGTCTGAATAATGTAAATAGTGTACATAATACCTCATCTCAGAAATATAGACAGATACTGAAAGGCCGAAACGTTGTGATAAATATGGCGTCAAACATGAGGACAATAGTCCGAATAATGTAAATAGTGTATATATTGCCTCATCTCAGAAATATCGACAGATACTGAAAGGCCGAAACGTTGTGATAAATATGGCAACAAACATAAGGACAATAGTGCGAATAATGTAAATAGTATATATATTGCCTCATCTCAGAAATATAGACGGATACCGAAAGGCCGAAACGTTGTAATAAATATGGCAACAAAGATGAGGACAATAGTCCGAATAATGTAAATAGTGTACATAATACCTCATCTCAGAAATATAGACAGATACTGAAAGGCCGAAACTTTGTGAAAAATATGGCGTCAAAGATGAGGACAATAGTCCGAATAATGTAAATAGTGTATATATTGCCTCATCTCAGAAATATAGACAGATACTGAAAGGCCGAAACGTAGTAATAAATATGGCGTCAAAGATGAGGACAATAGTCCGAATAATGTAAATAGCGTACATAATACGTCGTCTCAGAAATATAGACAGATACTGAAAGGCCGTTACGTTGTAATAGATATTGCGTCAAAGATGAGGACAATAGTCTGAATAATGTAAATAGTGTACATAATACCTCATCTCAGAAATATAGACAGATACTGAAAGGCCGAAACGTTGTGATAAATATGCCAACAAAGATGAGGACAATAGTCCGAATAATGTAAATAGTATATATATTGCCTCATCTCAGAAATATAGACAGATACTGAAAGGCCGAAACGTTGTAACAAATATTGCGTCAAAGATGAGGGCAATAGTCTGAATAATGTAAATAGTGTACATAATACCTCATCTCAGAAATACAGACAGATACTGAAAGGCGGAAACGTTGTAATAAATATGGCAACAAAGATGAGGCCAATAGTCCGAATAATATAAATAGTGTACATAATACATCATCTCAGAAATATAGACAGATACTGAAAGGCCGAAACGTTGTGATAAATATGGCAACAAAGATGAGGAAAATAGTCCGAATAATGTAAATGGTGTATATATTGCCTCATCTCAGAAATATAGACAGATACTGAAAGGTCGAAACGTTGTAATAAATATTGCGTCAAAGATGAGGACAATAGTCTGAATAATGTAAATAGTGTACATAATACCTCATCTCAGAAATATAGACAGATACTGAAAGGCCGAAACGTTGTGATAAATATGGCGTCAAAGATGAGGACAATGGTCCGAATAATGTAAATATTGTATATATTACATAATACCTCGTCTCAGAAATATAGTGAGCTATACAGAAACAGCTGTGTCCGAGAAATTTTCATAGAAAATATTCGTCCTTTGACTTCAATCTTGCCAACCGAACGATCCTTTTGTGGCCGAGCGCTCAAGGCACGTCAGCGTAAAAGTATAGGATGCAGGTTCGAATCCTGTCAAAGGACGAATATTTTCTATGAAAATTTCTCGGACATTCAGGCCGGTAAATGTTATTTAATACTGTTTATTATAAACAGAGTATTTACTTAAATACTTGTATCTATAAAAAGAACGTTAAACATAAAATGTCTTTAATAAAATAAATTGTCGGACTTTGTCCATTTCTTAATATATATATATATGAAGAAATATATTTTAAGGTGTTCTATATTCATGGGATAAAGTTCTCAATATCAGAGATAGAGCGTATGTAAATATAATTATGAAAATGAATATTGAAGTCAACACTCAGAGGCGACAGGCTGTTTCATGCTGAATGCAATCGTCAAGCGGCCTGACGATTGCGTCCAACATGAGACAGCCTGTCCCTCTGAGTGTTGACTTCAATTTATATATCTTATATATATATATATATATATATATATACATATATATATATATATATATTATAGATCATAAAATGTCTTGTTGGTCATTTTACTATTAAAATGTATTCTTGATTTTTTCTTGGGGGTTTCACTATTTTGCCTACAGCTGGGACCCTAACCGGTGTTCCCACCTGGGGTCAGGGTGGACACTGGGAACAAAAGCAATTAACAGGTGGTTCCACATTCCTCAAAATCTCCAATCTCCCAACCAGAAGCCTTGCTGCCGGATGTAGTTTATCGTCTTACCCAGGACGATCCATTTTAGGCCTGATCTGGCTTTTACTTTCGGTCATCGTACGAGAACGGGTGTTTCAACGCGTACGGCCGAAATCTGACAATGAAATGAACGCGATCGCCTATATGAATCTCGGGTATTCGGAAAGCCGGCAAGGGTGGCTATCTCGGTGAATCTAATTATGTCATTCCGTTTATATTCTTTGTGAGTCACTACTTTATATATAAATCTGGTCTGTCTGCCCTTCTAGTTGTCTGTCCGTCTGTCTGTTTACTGTTTATATAATTGAATAAACACCATCTTCTCTCCGGCCAGAAAATCAATCCGAGGCGCTGATTTTTCCGGTTTAGACGATCAAACATTGTGAAGCAGTTTTCTCTTTGGCCAATACAATTTAATCTAACCGACAAATAATTATCTATCTATCTATCTATCTATCTATCTATCTATCTATCTATCTATCTCAGGCCTTTTCATATCTATCTATCTATCTATCTCAGGCCTTTTCATATCTATCTATCTATCTATCTATCTATCTATCTATCTATCTCATTCTGTTCATATCTGCTGAACTCATTCTGTTCATATCTATCTATCTATCTATCTATCTATCTATCTATCTATCAGTCCTTTTCATATCTATCTATCTATCTATCTATCTATCTATCTATCTATCTATCTATCTATCTCATTCTGTTCATATCTGCTGAACTCATTCTGTTCATATCTATCTATCGATCTATCTTTGACTCTTAATATCTATCTATCTATCTATCTCAGTCTATTTTATCCATCTATCTATCCCATGCTATCTATCTCATTCTGTTCATATCTGTTGAGGAGCTCACCCCTTTTTACACAAATGGACTCACCCAGTATATACATATTCTACAGCTACGTGAAGACCAGACGAGAGCAAGACCAAAGAGTCGAGTCCAGAGTGACAGAGTAAAAGGTTGTAGGTAACCGGAAGAGTGAGGGGTGAGGTAACAGCGTTGTAGGAGTCACAGTGATCGAGCAAGTAGACTCAGTAAGAAGTCATACAGCGATACTTCAATACCAAAGACTGTATATATATATTTTGCTACTAACCCGTATTCCTGGAACTACTAACCTGCATTACCAGTTTGTATTATTGCGTTATTTTCATATATTCATTTCCTGGCGTTTGTTATTTATTGGTACAGGATTTCAACCCGGAATCCACAACAACTTGGCGACGAGGATATCGAACTCACACGGAAGAAAAAAAAAATCTCTCTGTCGACCACAACAACTTTGGCGACGAGGAAATTCGAACTCACACAGGAAGAGTACAAAGGAAAAATCTCCCTTGCCGACAACAACAATTTGGTGTCGAGAAATTGGTACCTACACGGAAAGAAAAAATTTCTCTCTTCTCACCCCAACAGCTTGGGCGACAAGAATTTGCATTTCTCGGAGACTCAGAAGAGAAAATTGCCGTTTTGCCAGTATCCACAACAACTGGGTAACAAAGTGTTACGAGGATTAAAATACGGGAAATCGAGTTTTTTCGTAAGACTCTTACCATGGAGGATTTTAAAAGTATTTTAGTAGGACTTGTAAAATACCAAAATGAACAGCAATTGCAATTCCAAGAAAGAATGGAAAAAATATTACTACAAACGCAAAAGCAAAATGAAGAAAGACAATTACAACTCCGGGGGCGAGTTGTAAAAGTAGCGAGTAATACACAACAAGAAAATATTGAAAAAGAGGTGACTTTTTCTCAAGACGCAGTATGGAACACGATAGAAACAATCAAATATTCCCTAGAAGAGGATAAAAATTTCAGGGACTTTTTCAGACGTCATGAAGACATCTTCAACATCGATTGTCATCACTGGACAGAAGCAAAAAAGCTATGACTATTACTCAGAAAATTAGGAACGGAAGAATACACAAAATTCGTGGATTACATTTTGCCAAAGAAGACAAAAGATTTAACGTTTGATGAAGCAGTTACATGCCTGACGGAGCTTTTCAGTCCGAGAATGTCACTCTTTCACAAAAGGTGGAAATGTCTTAACCCTGTAAAAGATGAAAATGAGGACTATTCCATGTTCGTCGCAATCGTGAATAAATATTGCGACGACTTCAAGTTGGCAGAATTAACCCCAGACAATTTCAAGTGTCTTATTTTTGTACAAGGGTTAGTCTCAGCAAAAGATAGTGAAATGCTCAAAAGAATGTTTTCAAAACTGCAAAATGAACCTGGATTAACACTACAAAAACTATCGGAAGACTGCCAAAAATGCCTGAGTATAAAGAAAGACTCGAAGGATATTGAGGAGTCAGGAGTATCACATATTCGTAAGTTAAACAAAAGTTTACGTTTTTCACCCTCCTCGGAAAGAAAACAAAAATTCTATAATAATGAAAAAAGTACAACGTACAGGGCAAATAATCACGAAAATCAAAGTAAATATAAGCCCCCCCCCACTACGATCTGCAAGTTATCGATGTGGAGGACTACACTGGAATAAGGATTGTCGTTTTAAATATAAAAACTGTCTTGCATGTGGAAAAATGGGTCACAAGGCATCCCAATGTAGGAACCGAAAATTTATTAGTAGGATAAGAGCTACTAGAATGCATGACGCAGACAATACTAACTTAAGGAAATATGTGGAACTTGAAATCTTAAATAAAAAGATAAAATTGCAACTTGACTCAGGTTCCGCTGTGACGATAATTAACCTACAAACATGGAGAAAGCTTAATAGACCAACAATGTTACATACACTAAAAATTGCCAAGTCTGTTACAGGAAAGTGTATAAAATTCGAAGGAGATGTAATTCTAAATGTAAAATTTCACGGGAAAATAAGAAAACTGAAAATATTCGTAATGAAAGATACAGAAAATCTGGTGGGCACAGACTGGATGCAAAAGTTCGACGTATGGGGTTTACCTATCAGTTCGTTTTGTAAGGGTGCAGCTAGAATTGAATTGAATTAAAAGAAAATGTCCAACCAGTATGTAAAAAGAAGCAAAACGTGCCATTTGATAAGTTATTGCCTAACAAGAAGAAACACCAGCATACACCTATAGTACCCAAGAGATCATTTAAACCAGGAGAACGGGTTTACTTTAGTATGTTCAGGAACAATATGGCTTACTAGGAGCCTGGCACAATGGCAGACTAGGAAATGTGATGTACACAGTACAAGGCGAAAAATTTACCCACAGGTAAGAAAGATTTACCCAAGGTCAAACAGAAAGAGAAAATTTACCAAACCTCTCATTATCGACCATAAGAGAAAAAAAATACTAACTCCCCACGCAAAGTGATCTAAGGAGGGGGGTGGAGGGGTCTACCCCTTTTTATAAGGTTGTAGGTAACCGGAAGAGTGAGGGGTGAGGTAACAGTGTTGTAGGAGTCACAGTGAGCGAGCACGTAGACTCAGTAAGAAGTCATACAGCGATACTTCAATACCAAAGACTGTATATATATTTTGCTACTAACCCGTATTCCTGGAACTACTAACCTGCTTTACCAGTTTGTCTTATTACGTTAATACATTATTTTCCTATATTCATTCTTGGCGTTTGTTATTTATTGGTACCGGATTTCATCCCGGAATCTACAACAATATCTATCTATCTATCTATCTATCTATCTATCTATCTATCTATCTATCTCTCTCTCTATATATATATATATATATATATATATATATATATATATATATATTATAAATTAATTGATTTAAAATATGGTTTTTCGTTACACAGTTCTAAACATGTTTCAAAAATGGAAGCTAAAAGCCCCGAATTTAATTTTGCAATTAAATTAAAAGCATTAGTTCCATTTCATCCTCAAGCGAATTTTGGAGTAACTTTTAAAATTACTGGGTTTTAAAGACACAGCTAAAATCATAATTCATGTTTCCAAGGTTACAGATAAATCTATTTTTCTAGACAGGGGTGTCTAGGTGTTTAATATGTCTATATTTTAATGTATCAGTTGTTGCATTTTATTGTATCAGTTCTTTCTTTTATATATATATATATATATATATATATATATATATATAAAAACTCTATCTATCTATCTATCTATCTATCTATCTATCTATCATAGTCTGTTCATATCTGTCTATCTGTCTTTAATACATCTATCTATAAAAAGAAAAAAAATGGCTATAACTTTGATTTTACAAGTACCACCCTCATTTTAAATGAACACATTTTATTACATCTAAAGTACTTCGAGGGATTACTAAAAATAATTTTGCAACCATAAAGACATGTCAAAAAACATATTACATCCCCAACGTTTGATGAATTAATTCTTAAAGAACTTAACGTATGTTTATTCAAAGTAAACCGTATGAACGTAATAACGTTCCCAAAACAACATTCAGAAAAAACACCAAACATAATATCTACTACACGCACTCACACATTTATGAATATATATATATATATATATATACCCCAAACATATATATAAGCCACTAGCACGCAAGGGACAAAGTTACAGAGTTGGAGCGAGAGCAAAGAGGAGTGATAGAGGAAAGGATGAAGAAAAGGATAGGGGATAGATCAAGGCATCTGGATTGACATTATTGACATGTCGATTGACATTACATTTAAATAGTTGGAGTCTATAGCTATCAGGGAAACATGAAGAGGAGAGGGAGTTCCATAGGCGAGAGGTGCGTAACATGAAACTATTGGAGTAGAAGAGACGGCTACATTTAACAGTTTCGACAGTGCAAGGGTGAGAGCGAGATGCCAGCCTAGTTGAACGCTTAAATTCATGACGTTTTGGAACCAGCGAAAGCAGATCCTCGGAGCAATTACCATGAAAGTATTTATAAAAAAGACAGAGGGAGGCAACGGCACGTCTGTGAGAGAGCGACTGCAGGCGAGATGCCAGATCAGGGCCAATTACGTTGCATATCCGTCTCTGGATCTTATCAAGAACCTTGAGACAAACATAAGGGGCACCAGACCACATATGGCAGCAATACTCCAGGCAAGGGCGAATGGTTGATTTGTAGATTTGAAGGATCGACTTCAGCGAGAAAAATTTCCTGGCGCGGCACAGGGAGCCAAATTTCCTAAAGCAATACTTAACGGTGTTTTAGTAAGACTTGGAATCCGTTCATTTCTTGGAACTTCAAAAGAACGCGTTGTCCCTCTTTGAATTCGGAAAGCCTTAAATAACACTAAAGTTTGTTTAGCAAGTCGAAGGCACGCGAAACCTGATTAACCAATAAAAAGTAGACAAAACGAAAAGACCACAATGATAAACGTTTGCTATTTGTTCTTTAACTTATCCAAATCTATCTATCTATCTATCTATCTATCTATCTATCTATCTATCTATCTATCTATCTATCTATCTGAGTGTGTTCCTTCCTATCTATCTATCTATCTATCTATCTATCTATCTATCTGTTTCATTTCATCATCTATCTATCTATCTATCTATCTATCTATCTATCTATCTAAGGCTGTTCATTTCTATCTATCTATCTAAGGCTGTTCATTTCTATCTATCTATCTAAGGCGGTTCATTTCTATCTATCTATCTATCTATCTATCTATCTATCTATCTGAGTGTGTTCCTATCTATCTATCTATCTATCTATCTATCTATCTATCTATCTATCTAAGGCTGTTCATTTCTATCTATCTATCTATCTATCTATCTATCTATCTATCTATCTAAGGCTGTTCATTTCTATCTATCTATCTAAGGCTGTTCGTTTCTATCTATC